AACCGGATCACTCCTTTCCAAGGAGAAACCTTCAGGAGAACGAAGTCGCCAACCTGAAATTCAAGCTCGGACCGGTCTGTCCGCATAACTCTTCTGTCGGCTCTGGGCGGTCAATAACCTCTGTCTAACCTGCTGAATCTGCTCTGTCGTCTGAAGTACGATCTCTGTACTGCCCATCACTCTCTGTCCCACCTCTCCCCAGCAAATGGGGGTCCGACACCTCCTACCATACAACAACTCAAAAGGTGGCATACCAATGCTCGAATGATGGCTGTTGTTGTAGGAAAACTCTGCCAAGGGTAAATGCGCATCCCAGCTACCCCCGAAGTCTAACACACACGCTCGAAGCATGTCCTCCAATGTCTGAATCGTCCGCTCGCTCTGCCGTCTGTCTGGGGATGGTATGCGGTACTAAAATGCAGTTTAGTACCCAGCTCCTCATGGAATTTCTTCCAGAACCTGGAAGTGAAGCGTACATCACGGTCCGAAACAATCGAGATCGGCACTCCATGCCGAGATACCACCTCTCTCACATATAACTCCGCCAACTTCTCCGCTGATGAACTCTCGCTGATGGCAAGGAAGTGTGCACTCTTCGTCAATCTATCCACAATCACCCAAATTGCATCGACTCCTCTGGCAGTTTTCGGCAATTTAGTGATGAAGTCCATAGTAATCTGTTCCCACTTCCACTCAGGAATCTCCAAAGGCTGCAACTTGCCATGCGGTCTCTGGTGCTCGGCCTTAACCCTACGGCAGGTCAAACACCTCTCAACGAACCAGGCGACGTCTCTCTTCATACAAGGCCACCAGTATTCCTTCCTCAAGTCCAAATACATCTTTGTAGCACCGGGATGAATCGAGAATTTCGATCTGTGAGCCTCTTCCATCAAAGTAGCACGCGTACCGCCCACGAACGGTACCCAAATCCGACCCTGAAACGTCAGAAGTCCTCGTCCATCCTTAACGAACTCTGAAATTAACCCAACGACCCGTTCTTTCTTCTGCATCTCGGATCTCACAGCCTCGGCCTGTGCCCCACGAATAGCATCCAATACCGGAGTCATCACCGTCAGTCTCAGACATACATCTCACAATGGAGTGCTCTCCGCCCTGCGGCTCAATGCATCGGCTACCACATTAGCCTTGCCCGGGTGGTATAGGATTTCACAGTCATAATCCTTGACCACATCCAACCATCTCCTCTGACGCATATTTAGGTTGGGTTGATCCATCAAATACTTCAAACTCTTATGGTCCGTATATATCGTTCATCGAACCCCATACAGGTAGTGACGCCAAATCTTGAGAGCGAACACTATTGCCCCCAACTCTAAGTCATGCGTGGGATATCTCGCCTCGTGAGGCTTTAGCTGCCTCGATGCATAAGCTATCACATGACCTCTCTGCATCAACACTGCACCCAGTCCCGAAATCGATGCGTCGCAATATACGACAAAATCTTCCATCCCTTCCGGGAGAGCTAATACCGGGGCTTCGCACAATCTCTGGCGAAGTGTCTCGAAAGAAATCTGTTGCTCGGGTCCCCATGGAATGCAACACCCTTCCGGGTCAGTCTGGTGAGCGGTACTGCGATCTTGGAGAAGTCTCTAATAAACCTCCGATAGTACCCCGCCAACCAAGGAAACTCCTGATCTCGGAAGGTGACTTCGGTACCTCCCAACTCATCACTGCCTCGACCTTGGCCGGATCGACCAATATCCCTGCCTGATTAACAACATGTCCAAGAAATTGGACCTCCCGCAACCAGAAGTCACATTTGGAGAATTTTGCATATAGCTTCTCCGACCTCAGTACCCCAAGGACCTCCCTCAATGTCCCTCATGCTGCTCTCTAGATCGCGAATACACCAGGATGTCGTCGATAAATACAATCACAGACCGATCCAGCATCGGCCTGCATACCCTGTTCATGAGGTCCATGAACACTGCCGGGCATTGGTGAGCCCGAAAGGCATCACCACGAACTCATAATGCCCATATCGCGTCCTAAATGCTGTCTTCTGGACGTCCTCATCCCGCACTCTTACCTGATGGTACCCTGATCTCAGATCGATCTTGGAAAACCAAGATGCCCTTGCAAACTGATCGAATAAATCATCGATCCTCGGTAACGGATAGCGGTTCTTGACCGTCACTTTGTTCAACTCCCGGTAATCAATGCACATTCGGTGTGAACCATCCTTCTTCTTGACGAACAGCATCGGTGCTCCCCACGGCGAGCTGCTGGACCGAATAAATCCCTTCCCCAGCAACTCCTGGAGTTGCGAGGACAACTCTTGCATCTCTGGAGGTGCGAGATGATAAGGCACCTTCGCAATAG